CACACACACACACACGGAGCTCGCAGGCAACAAATGAAACCGCCTCCTCCTTCCTCCATGCATCAAGGAGGCCAATCAGCAATGGGAAGAGCATGAACTTCAGAAGGAAGTAGCTGCCAGAAATGCCATCAGGTGAAGATGTGAGCGGGGAAGCTTGATCCCACTTAGGAGCCTCAGTTTACTCGTGAGCATCATTGGCCTTTCTCCCTGCCTCTCCCAGCCAATGTTGCTCACAAGTAAACTGCAGCTAGGCTCTCCCACATATTGCACCCCACTTTTCAGCCTTCACCCATGCCTTTGCACCGCAGGAGGATCGAGGGCAGCCCAGCAAGCTGGGCCCCTAAAAATGGCATGGAGGCTTGGGCAAAGGCTGGGAGGGGGATGCAACACACAGGAGGGGACCCAGCTACCCCTGCAGCCCATCTCAGTGTGCCAGCAGGAGTGTGGTGCTGTGGCTCCAACAGCGGGGAAGGCCCATCAGAGGTGAGAAGTGGTGTTCCTACCATGGCTGTCGCTGTCCAGGCAAGCCGCTCCCCACCACTCCAGGCCAGGCCAGCAGCCTTTATCCAGCCAGCTGGAGAGAGTGGAAGTAGCACTGGTCATGGCTGAGAGCTTTCTTTGCCAGCCGGCCGCCGAAAAGTTCTCCTTTTTAAAAGCCTCCAGTGACGGAGCATTAGGATCCAACCTGCACTTTAACCAACCAACTGGGCAGGCTCCGAGGTTGCAGGCGCCCAGGGAGGGAGGAGGAAATGCTGTCCGATTGCCACCTCTCGAAGCAACTTCAGAAGTTTTTAAGCTCACCTGGAGAGGCATTTTTCTAAAAAGAAAACCCTGAAAAAGCCACAAGACCCTGAGCTGTTAGTCTCCAGTAAGATGAGCATCTCGTGGCCCGCCCTACTCCATCCCCTGCCTCACCTGCCACCCCCAAATTGCACCCAACAGTGAGCGCCTCTCAACCATTGTGTGCAGGGAAAAACCTTGCACAACAAAGAAAAGCTTCTCTTGAGTGCGAGGCAATTAACAACTTCTTGCACTCTTGGGAAGTATTTCTTTACTGTGCAAGGTTTTTCCCTGCACACAACGGCTGAGATACTTGCAGTGGGGCACAATTTGGGGCAGGGGATGGGACGGGGCAGGGGGCGACGTGCCACAAGTGTGAGAAGTTGTTAATTGCCTCGCACTCACAAGTTTTTCTATACTGTGCAAGGGCCGGGAGTTGCTCCAAGGATGCAGGCTCTGTAATTTAAGAGAAAGTGACTTGGCTAAAAAAAAAAATCACTGGCATGTTTTCTGTACCAATTCTTCCCATTATTTTAGTTGATTCATATTTGCAAAAGAGATGGGGGGGGAACAGAGAGAGACACACACACAAACAGACAGACAGTGAGACTTGGGAAATCAGTAATATGTCCGTCCCATTATTTTACTTGACTCAAATTAAAAAGAGAGTGAGCCTTTTAGGATATATGCAAAGCTACCCATGAATGTCTGAACTAACTATAACAGGCTAAACTTTGCAGAGTGGGGAGTATTTTCATGGTTTGTTTTCATATAAACTGTAGATCTGGTCTTGAGAAGAGAGTAACAGACAATTATGAAGAATATTTGTGGCCGGTTGGGATTTGGGATATTAGTGTTCACTGCTCTTGTTTTTTTTCTGTTGAACATGTTTCATGGCCAAACAAGGCAACATCATCTGTGCTGCATCTAGCAAATCAAGATGTAGATAAGAAAGAGCCAAGACAATAGCCAGGAACAATCTGAAATGAAGTAATCCAGCACAGTAGATCAGTCAGAGACAAGCTTGCAACCCTGTGGAAGACATATGGACAATGAGCCATGCATAAAAAGCCAAGAAATATCACTTCCTTGCATCAAAACACTGGCAATGTTATCTACTTTGATAATAAAACATTTGCTTTATTTAAAACACAAGCTTCATGAATACCAAGAGGTGAAGAGAGTAGTGAACCTTAAGCTGGGAGAAACAGCAATTCAGTCCTGCCCAAATAGAAAGTGCAGAAAGAAACTCATAATAACTCACTTTGATTTTGTTTGGTGTATAGTTGTTGTTGATTTATGACCATAATGGAATCTGCCTATTATAGTTATAAGTTTTGATGGTCTTAAAGTGGGTCACCCACGTGACTGATCTGATTTTACGATGATTGTAAAATGAACACTGCAATTATAAAGCAATTTTTTAAAGAAATGAACAAAGTGATTACTAGAAGCCAGTATGGATTTGATAAAAGCAGGTCATGCTAAACAAACCTTATTGCCTTCTTTGGTAAAGTGACTAACTCAGAGGATCAAGGAAATGCTGTAATTATACTTAGACTTCATTGAGGTGTTTGGCAAAGTAAACCACAGCCTACTACTTGGTAAGACAGAGCAATGTGGGATAGACAGGACCATCACCAGATGGACTTATAGTTGGCTGATCAACTGCCCTCAGTGTGTGGTCCTCAATGGAACTACATCTATATGGAGGGAAGCATGCAATGGGGTACCTCAAGGTTCTGTCTTGGGCTCAGTGCTCTTCAACACCTTTATAAATGACCTAGATGAGGGGGTAGAAAGGGCACTCATCAAATCTGCAGATGATACCAAGCTAGGGCAAATTGCTAATATTTTAGAAGATAGATTCAAAATTCAGAAGGATCTTGACAGATTTGAACATTGTGCCCTATCCAACAAAATACAGTTAAGTGGTGAGAAAAGTTAAGGTCCTGTACTTGGGCAGAAAAACCAAACCATAAGTAGGGAATAGGCATACCTGCCTCAACAGTAGTATCTGTGAGAAGGATCTAGGTGTCCTGGTGGACCACCATTTAAATAGAAGTAAGCAGTTACCAAAAAAGCCAATGCAGTTCTAGGCTGCATCAACAAAGGGATAGCATCAAGATCACAAGAAGAGATAATACCACTTTGTAGTGCACTAGTGAGGCCACACTTGGAATACTGCAGCCAGTTCTGGTCACCACAATACAAAAAACAATGCTGATGCCCTAAAAAGAGTGCAGAAAGCAGTAATAAAGATGATAAGGAGTCTAAAGGCTGAATGTACAATAACCGGTTGAAGGAAATAAGTATGTGTGTATAGCCTAACAAACCAAAGGCTTAGGGGAAACATGATAACTGTCTTCCAATATCTGAAGGGCTGTCACAGAGAAGAGGGGGTCAATTTATTTTCCATAGCACCTAAGGAAAGATGCAAAGCAATGGGTGGAAGGTGGAAGCTCATCAAAGGGAGATTCAACCTGGAACTAAAGAGAAATTTCCTGATAGTGAGAACAGTTAGTTAATGCGATAGCTTGCCTCCCAATCTCATTGGAGATTTTAAAGAAAGTTTGGAAAACCATTTGTCTGGGATTGTATAAAGATTCCAGGCATGGGCAGGGGGTTGTACTATAAGACCTCTAAGGTCCCTTCCAGCCCTATGATTCTAAGCCATTATCACAGACCTCAGGTGGAAAAAAGAGAACTTTAAGAATGTATTTTTTATTCAGGGACTGCTGATAACATAGGACAGTAATGGCAAACCTTTTCAGTATCAAGTGCTGAAAAGGGAGCCCCCCGCGCACTTGTCTGGGACCTGGAAGAGGAGCGGTGCAGGGAGCATGCACCCAAAAAACGCACTTCTGGTTTCCGGTGGGCGCATGGACACTGGTCAGCTAGACTTCCAGGTACTGGCACGCATGATAATCAGTCAGCTGGCATACATGTTGACACTGGAAAACGGAAGACCAGCTCTTCCAGTTTCTGGCACTGCCACAGAAAGGCCAGTTGATCGTCACACGCGTATGTGTGCCAGAAACCCGGAAGAGGAACAGGCAATGCCATGCGTGCCAGGTAACATGTCTCTGCATGCCACTTCAGCCACGCATGCCACAGGTTCACCATCACGGACATAGGATATAACACTGGCATTTACTTCACATCTTGTACTAAGTATTCAACTGAGTTGAATGTAATCAACATATGATGGTTGAAATATCTACAGCGCTGTTGCCATTAGTAGATTCGGTGTTTTTGATTTTTGCTTCAGCTCCTGTTCTGATGAAGGAAGAGATTTCTGCGAAAGAAGATAAGGCCAAGGAATTCTTAAACAATCTGAAACGTCCGAAGCGCCAGCTTTGGGACAGGAGTCAGCCTGACGTACAGCAGTGGTACCAGCACTTTCTCTATTTGGGTTTTGATGAAGCTGTAAGTGGCATAGTTGTTTTAACTTTCAATAATGAAGTTCAGTGATCTGAATTAGCACTGTGTAAATCTTGTTGGATTCAGGATAATTGCCTAATGTTTGATTTTCTTTGAAATAAGCTTCATATTTCTGTATAGATATGGGAAGGAATTCAATTTAATTTCAATCTTATAATTATATTCATTACAATAGATATGAGAAACCTGCCTTCTTTATAAGCAAAACCATTCCCCTTATTATATGTGAATTTGAGAAGGTGAATTCTTGCTAATGGTCACAGCAGGTCAAGCTTGATAATTGTTTCAGGCATCTACTTGAATTAATTTAATAGCAATAGCACCTAGAGTTATATACCGCTTTACAGTGCTTTATAGTCCTCTCTAAGTGGTTTACAGAATCAACATACTGACCCCAACAATTTGAGTCCTCATTTTACTTATCTCAGAAGGATGGAAGGCTTGAGCCTGGAGAGATTTGAACTGGCAAATTGCAGTCAGTCAACAGTCAGCGGAAGGAGCCTGCAGTATGCACTCTAATCGCTGTACCACCATGGCTCTAACTTCTGGCAAAGTTTTTTTGGGAAAAAGTTATTTAATCACATGAATGCACAGAAAACATTTCAACATTATGATTTTACTGAAGCATAAATGGGACATGCAAACAAAACACATTTGTATCGTGGATAAAGTATTTCATACTTCAAACAGCAATCTGGAATTATATATTATGCCTTCCTCCACCCCTGCTATTATATATTAAAATGAATAGCTGAAATTAGTTGCTGAAGTTCTCACTCAGGTCCACTATTGAAACGGGAAAATACTTTAATCCTATTGGTTAACTGGCTGATAGCTTCCTATAAAAGGAGTACTGTCAGCCAGGCTATTACTTGTGTTGTTCTGATGAACTAATAAAAGAGCTTTGATAAAATTCACTCTGGCCTCATCTCCATTCTCGCCCAGAACTTAGCACCTGTGGTCAAGAATTGTCCTAGAAGTGAAATTCCAATATTTTTCAGCATGGGAGGTTAATGAATCAATTTTTCATGCAGGCATTTTACCTGACAAATTAAACCATTTTAATTTCTGCGCATAGTTTGTGTGCGTGCTTAGATTATTTGAATCTAACATATAGTTGTTTTTCGAAGGAAAAGATAGAGGAACCATACAAAAAAACCTGAATGAGAATATGGCTTTGGTGGCAATTTGTTAGGAAGTCATATGCTAAACTGAGAGTAGACAGGGATAAGGAAAAGTATAGTAAAGTCTTATAAATTGGATGAACTATTTATTATAAACTGAAGACTGCAAATTACTTGAATGTGCCTCAAGCTGTTTCAATACTTCAGAATTTGAAAAACCATATTTGAGTTCTTTAATTTTTGTTTATGGTAGGGTGTACTGATATATTTTCTTTATTTCTGATAAATACAGTAAAAGTTGCTTAGAAAAAACACCAGGAAACTGACTGAATCCTAGATATAAATTCACTTTCCAATCAGCATATATTTTAAAAAAACAATACAATAAGTATTTAATGCAAAAGAAGTGAATGATACAATCTTTCAATTATTCAGGGCCTTTTCCCCCTTGACTCACTCTTTATGACATTTTGCCCATTGCAGGAATGTTTGGGAAGCAAAGACTTTTTTGTTCTGAATATTTCTATAGAAAACAATTTCATTTGATAGGGTTTTGACTGAGAATTGGTGGTACTGATTAAAATGAAGTCATGTATTATCCACATAAATGCTTGTCATAGTAATTAGAGTGCTGAGTTTTAATAGAGGAAAGACGGGTTCAAGTGTTCATTGGTCTCAGAGATCATTAGAAGTCTCCACCCCCAACCTACTCACTATAAGTCACTGAAAACGGAAATAGGGGAGGGGGAAACACTAAAAACATCCTTAATGCCTTGCACTGGGGTTACAATTGCATTGGGATTCAAATATAGGTAGTCCTCAACTTACAACCAAAATTGGGCCCAAAATTTATGTTGCTAAGGAAAACGTGATTATTGTCCAGTGGTGGGTTCCAGATCCCGTTGCAACTGGTACACTGAAACGGGGCCTGGCGTCTACCAGGTGAATGCCCGCAGCACGTGTGCAGCGTGCACATGTGTACTTACCGCCCGCAATGCTCCAGCTGCTCGGCGGAGCGCTGCGCAAGTGCCGTACACTCCATGCACGTGTGCGAAAGCCTCGATCGGCTCCTATAGCGGTAAGGAGGGCAGGCGGACCCTCTGGAGCACCATACTTGAACGGTACCTGGTGCTCCCAGCGGGCACTGGAACACCTGTACTGGGGCGTACCGGTCGTATCCCACCACTGTTATTGTCCCATTTATGACTTTTCTTGCCTTGCTAAGTGAATGACTGCAGTTGTTAGTCACATGGATATTAAGTGAATCTGGCTTTCTCATTGACTTTGCATATCAGAAGTTTGGAAAATGTCCCGGGGTCATGATGACATAAATACATGCCAGTTGCCACACATCTGAATTTTGATCACATCACCATGGGATTCTACATTGTACATTGTAATTTCGAATGGTAACTAAATGAATGGTCAAAGACTACCTGTATCAATTTGTCAGGTCTCACTTAGCAACAGGGCTTCTGTGAGTATAAAATGAGATGGTTTATGGTTTATGGTTTTATTATTTATAGGCCGCCCTTTTCCCTGAGGGGANCCTTCCCAGTTTTATGTGAGCCGCCCTGAGTCCCCTCAGGGAAAAGGGCGGCCTACAAATTCTAATAAAACTAAAACTAAAACTAAACTAAAACTAAAATAAACCATATACAGTTCTATTGTATTCTTCATAGAAAGAGTAGATGTTATATTAATGGATCTGGCTGTTCCACTGACTCAGTCCTTTTACTTTATAGCACAGGTGGGGAATTATGACTCCTTAATGACTTGTGGACTTCAACTCCTAGAATTTCCATGGCTGGCTCAAGAATTCTGGGAGTTGAAGTCCTCAAGTCATAAAGGAGCCATAATTCCCCACCTCTGCTTTATAAGGTCATGATAATTCCAAAATGAGGATATTGTGAAGGGTCTCCTCCATGAACTCAAAGAGTAGGCGGTAAAATTATGCTGGACAGAAAACTGTAAATTTTATAAGTGGTCTGTAAAAGTAGCAAAGGAATTCTCTCATCATACACCAACTTAAAGATCCGAAACAGCTCAGCTGTTTCTGGAGATTAACGCTAACCACTTTTCCCTGATGAATGCTTTAGCCCTCTCAAATACCAATTGCTTGAAGCTCCAAGCAGAAAACTTGCTATTATACATAATCTCTTTGTTTGCTTTTCTCTATTTGATTTTGATCCATTCTGAAGTTAAAGAAGCTAGGAAGTCAAAATACATTATTTTAAGTCAATAGTTTAAATGCTAAATCCATGTGACGGTAATTCCTATTTCTAGGAACAAGAAGGCACTGAAATGTAAATATTTTACTGTATTTCCACAATAAACGCAGGTCTTTTAGATATGGATTTGAGATTCATACAATATTTGAACAATAACTTTCAAAGTGTTGATGTCCTAATATATTCTAGATTCTGGTCAGCTATTTGATTTGGATACTTCACTTATTCCTGCGCTGAGAAATAAATTGGACCTTGGAATTAATGGCTTCTTTCTGCTATATAGTTTAGTTGCCAAAATCATCAATTAACTTTTTAAATTAGAAGATTATGTTCCAGGGTGTATTACAGAAGATGGTATACAGTACATATACCATTTTGGATGAAAACATCTGATCAATATTGAAAGAAAAATATATTTCAATGCTTCTAAAGCATAGCATTTTTATGAACATATGGCTTCAGCAAATCGATGGTCACTTTTTCCCTTTTTCTGCAGAAATTTGAAGATTATGTCTCCTACTGGTCAAACATAGGTCGTGATGGCCATGAATATGATGGTGGCTATTATCACCACCATTATGATGAAGATGCTCCTATTGGCCCACGATATCCAGACACCTTCAGACATGGAGCAAATGTCAATTATGATGATTATTATTAAGATTATTCTGTGTATTAACTATTATTAACTCTTTCATCTCTGTATTGACTATATTAATTCTTTCTTCTCTGTGTAAGGACACTTAATTTTTTAAAAAATTGATTTTAATCTGGTTCTTAATTTTAGTTGATGGGATTGGGGGAAGAAACCAAGAAAAATTGCCCTTGCATATATTTCTTAACATATCTACTTTAAAATTAAAGCTTTTAGTACAAACTTTTGATTACCATATGTATTCTGGTGAAATTCTTACATTATGAAGACTAACTTTCTTTACAGAGACCAATATGGCCATCTATTTTATATTAATGTAGCTTACAATGAATAAAAACATAAACATGAACAACAGTCTCATCCAATAACATCCTATTACCTACCACAGGGCCATATCACCATACCAACTTTGCATTTTTCTGGATCTACTCCCATCTTAGCCCAATCGTGGGGGGAAGAGCCATGATTCATGGCCTGAAGGTTCAAGGCTAAAAGGATAATGGATCCCAGGGGGTCAAAAATGGAAAGCCATTCTGTCTTGCTAGGGTTGAGTTGCAGTAAGTTCTTCCCCACCCAGAGCCTTCAGGCATTGGGTCAGCACCTGAACATCACTACCTGCCCAGTTGAGGGTAGACCAGTGGTGAGTTGCAGGCAGTACGTCCCGGTACAGGCGTACCGGAGCCTGCCTGGAACACTGGACCCCGTTCTGGTACGGTGCTCCAGAGGGCCCACCCGCCCACCCATGCTCCTTACCGGTCTTTTGTCTTTGGCGCTTCCGCGCACGTCCCGTACAGTGCCTACGCGACACTCCACTGAGCAGCTGGAGCATCACATAGGCTCGTGGAGGCTCATAGAGGTGCTGTACCGGTTGGAACGGGATCCGGAACCCATCACTGGGGTAGAGGTGTATAATTATCGTTTGCATATTGATGAAACTGTACTGCCAACTGACCTCTCTCATGGGCTTTATTTGATGTTAAATAGAAGTGATGAGAAACCGAGCCTTGAGGCACCTACTTAAGATAGGCGTAGACTTCTCTTCCCCAATCCTTTTACCAGCAACAGGAAGGGAAAAACAATGCAATGCAGTGACTTCCACTCCCAACCTCCAAATCCAATCCAGAAGGATGCTCTTGTGGATGGTACTAAAGGTTGCCGAGTGATCCAGAAGGTCCAGGATGGATGCAACATCCCCATCCCAAGCTTTTCAGCGGATCAACAAATGTGACCAATGCCATGTCAGTACTATAAAAATGACTGAAAAAGGTCTAGATAATATAATTCATCCAGGACTCTTCAATGCTAAACACCCACCACTTTCTCAACAATCTGTTCTGACCCAGCCTTAGCAGAAGCAAGAAACCCCTCTTTATTTACCACTTGTAAATTAATTGCATTCACCCATTAATTGCATTCACCCACCAAAAAGTCCAGGAAATAGTCCTTCAAAGAGCTAACTGCAGTAACAGACCTTATCATTCCTTGCAATAATTGCAAGGCTGTGAGCTCCTAGCCGCAAAGTTGCAAATTAAATTCTGGCAAGCAGTCTTTGTGGCACACATAATGAGCAAAATCTTCAGAAATACGAACTANGCTCACACTGAAAAAAAATTAGAGGGAACATTGTTTATGGGTGGTAAGTAGCACAGGAGATGAGGCCTTTATATATGTCAAATTTCCAGTAGCAATGTATAAACAAGGTATAGATAAACCGTGATCACATGATCACTTTGTTTCTGTCATACAAGCAGAAAAACAATCTAGTTAAATATAGTTTCATCTGATAAACGTTGGTGAACAACTAATCAAGCCAGGATGCTGTTGTATTTTAAGATGGTATAAAAAATATTCACAAAACTGATCATGTAATACATAAAGCACAGTAAAAAGTAACCACTTTTTAAAATCCAAATGACTGCTACTATAGTAATTTACACATCATCATCAAGAAAGGAGAATAGTTTATTTAAAAATGTGCATAATATTCATCTGTAAAGTACCCAAATACTATATACTAACAAGCAGTCATGTATGCAGAAAATATTGCTAAACACTGATAGCATAGCTTAAAATTCAAACCAGTAGTTTTACTTCATTAAATAGAATGGTATCAAGTTTCAAAGTTCAAGGTAAAATTTGATTCACACTTTCAGCAACTCGGCTTATGGCCCGCACTTAGTGACCGTTTGACGTTCCGATCGGCCTATCTGTAAGGCTAGTTACAACCCGGACTCAAAATTTCAATGGTCATTGTTGAGGACTCAGTAAGTCCTCGACTTACGACCTGGCAGCTAGCAGCTAGCCAAGCCGCACCCTGATTGGCTAAGGTGCGGCTTGGCTAAGCGCGGGCCACTAGGGGCGCACTCATTGGCTTTCCCTGCTTGACAGCTCCGTATAAATAGCTGTCAAGCAGGGAAGGTGCTGAATCGCCTGTAAATAGTTTACTGAATAAACTGTGCCTGTTCTGACAGTCCTGGCTCCAGTGGAGGATCCGCTGATCCTCAAAAGTCATCCCATGTCACATGACCACACTCTGGGTGCTTAGCAACCAGGCTGCCTTTACAGCTGTCTCCCATGGTCACATGACCACATTTCACAATGGTTTTGCCAAAAACCGGCATTTACTTCTGCTTTTCAGCAAAATTGTAAGTGAACCATTGGTTTGCTATAACAACTGGAATTTGCTCAATGAACTATTGTGATTCACTTAGCAATTGCTGCAAAAAAGCTATAAGGGTTAGTCACGTGACCAACCCACCTTATGATCATCTTGAGTTATGACTATGATGGGCAGGCTTCATTATGGTTATGACTCAAGGACTACTTGTATTCTCCACCCGAAATGAATTATAAAAGCACACAAAGAAATGTACCAATATTTTAAAAGCACTTTAAGCAATTCATGTTAAGTATTAAGCAGAATTTGGCAACCTTATTGGGAATTTCTGTTCTATTCTTGACATAAAATCTGCTACATTACAGAGATCCCTCCTTCCGGCCCTAGGAGTCCCACTCCAAGACCAGATGGCGTAAGTAGTCAGGACCCTGGTCTCA